CATCTGGGGTCTCTTGTGCTCCTCATCCGCATGCTCTTTTTTTGTTGTTCTTCCTCCTCCTCCTCCTCCTCCTTCTCCTCCTCCTCGGACTCCTTGGACTCGTCCTCCTTCACCTTATCCTCCTCCTCCTTTTCTTCTCCTCCTCCTCCTCCTCCTCCTCCGCATCCTGCCCCAGTCCTTCCTACCTCCTCCTCCTCCTCCTCCTCCTCCTCCTCTTCGTTCCTCTTCCTACCTCTTTGCGGCGAGCCCCACCCCTTGGAAGCCCTGGACAGGAGAAGGAAGAGAAAGAGAAGAATAAGACAAACAAAAAAAGAAGACGAAGGAGAAGGAGGAGGAGGAGGAGGAGGAGGAGGAGGAGGAGGAGGAGGACGGAGCCGCCTCCTCCCCCTCATCGCCGATGCGCGACGTTCAGCAGCGATGTGCGACTCAGAGCTAGTGGCGCAAACTCGATCGAACCTGAGGGTTGAGTTCCTGCTGTTCCTCGTCGTTCTCCTTCTCCTCCTATCTCCTCCCGTCCTCCCTCCCTCAACCCTCTTCCTCCTTTCCTTCATTCTTCCCGTCCTCCAACTATTTTCCCGCCTCTCCCTCCCCCTGCTCCTCCTGCCTGTCGCTCATCTTCCCCCTTCTCGTCACTTCGTCGTCGTCGGCGTCGTGGTCGTCTTCTTCCTCGCTCTTATTGCGGTCCTCCTGCCTTTGTAGTTATTTTGGTTATCTATCCTCCTGCTCCTTTTCATATGCCTCGGATGCCATAGAGGCCAGTTGGGCGAAGAACCATGCCTACTGGGATCGGGGGATGGCAAGCGTCACCACGGCGTGTTTCCATTTCATAACCCACGCTTGGCACTGCGCCGGGTCGTCGCGGTTGATGGCCGAAGCGTCACAGAAGGTAGCAAAATGGCCGAATGCGCTGATCTGCAACCAGCGCGTCGGCGAGGTCCAACCAAGTAGCACTTTTAACGGCCCGGACAGCTACGCACGCCTGCCGGGCCACCGCCTGGTCTGGTAAGAGATCGAGCATGGCCCCCGCAATGGCAATCCGCTTGAGGACGAAGGCGGCCACCCGGTTGAACCATCGAGTTTCTGAAAGCACTCGGACGTGGCCCCCAGCGCCCAGCGAGACGCCTGGCCGCAGCCCGAGCATCATCGTGGCGGCCGCGTGCATCGCCCTCGTCGAGCTCGCGCGCCACTGCGGCCCAGCCCACCCGGGCGGCCCCGCGCCGTGGAGCACCGACGGGCCACCGCGCGCTCGCAGGACTGCTCCACGGCCGGCCACGCGTGGCGGCCGCGTGCGCCGCCCACGTGGAGGAGGATGATGATGAGGAGGAGCAGGAGGAGGAGGAGGAGGAGGAGGAGGAGGAGGAGGAGAAGGAGGAGGCGGAGGAGGAGGAGGAGGAGGAGGAGGAGGATGAGGAGGAGGAGGAGGCGGAGGAGGAGGAGGAGGCGGAGGAG